TGCTGCCCCTGCCTGCCTGACCCTTGCCCTGGCCACCGTTCTCCTTCCTTCACCGCCCTCTGCTCTTCTAGCCACCCGAGTGATGAGAAGGACTTCTCCTTCCCTCGAAACATCTCAGCCGGCTCCCTGGGCTCCCTGCTAGGGCATCACCACGGCCAGGGGGCCGAGAGCGACCCCCATGTCACTGAGCCTCTCATCGGAGGCGTCCCCGAGACTCGGCTAGAGGTGGAACGAGAGGTGAGGGGGAACGGTGGCCCTACCTGGTTCAGGTCCCAGCCACCACGGCTGGCCGAGGGACTGCGAGCGAGCCCGGTGTGAACACGCCGGGTGGGGTGGCGGGGTGGGGGCTGGGGCCGGCAGGGCTGAGCTCCGTTCTTCCGTGTTTCCAGCGGGAGCTGCCACCTCCAGCCCCGCCAGCCGGCATCACTCGCTCCAAGTCCAAGCACGAACTGAAGCTCCTGGAGAAGATCCCCGAGAACGCCGAGGCCACGGTGGTCCTTGTGGGTATGTGGGCGAGTCTCGGGGGCAGGGGTGTCGGCGGCCACGCCTGCCTCGGTGCCACCCTGGGGCTGGGGACCAGGGGCCGGGGGGCGGCCCGTGCCCTCTCCTGCCCATGATGGCACCGTGCCCTTAGGCTGCGTGGAGTTCCTCTCCCGCCCCACCATGGCCTTCGTGCGGCTGCGGGAGGCCGTGGAGCTGGACGCGGTGCTGGAGGTACCTGTGCCCGTGCGCTTCCTCTTCCTGCTTCTGGGCCCGAGCAGCGCCAACATGGACTACCACGAGATCGGCCGTTCTATCTCTACCCTCATGTCCGACAAGGTCAGGCCCTCCCCAGCGCCTGCCGGGACGCCCCGGGGGTCTCTCCCAGCCCTGCTCCGGGCCCCTCGGCCTCGCCCCGTGCCCTCACCGGTCCCCGGCCTGCTTTGACAGCAATTCCACGAGGCAGCCTACCTGGCAGACGAGCGGGAGGACCTGCTGACCGCCATCAACGCCTTCCTGGATTGCAGCGTGGTGCTGCCGCCCTCGGAGGTGCAGGGCGAGGAGCTGCTGCGATCCGTTGCTCACTTCCAACGCCAGATGCTCAAGAAGCGAGAGGAGCAGGGCCGGCTGTTGCCCACGGGGGCGGGACTGGAGCCCAAGTCGGCCCAAGATAAGGGTATGGGCCAGTGTGGGCCAGGGGCGAGAAGCGGGCTGCCCGTGGGGGCTCGGGGGCTCCGGCTGGGGTCCGTGTGTACGTGGAGGAGCGGGGTGAGCACGGAGGGGCCGCGGCGGGCGCCCTGACGGAGGCCTGGGCTGCAGCGCTCCTGCAGATGGTAGAGGCGACAGGCGCAGTCGAAGACGATCCCCTCCGGCGGACGGGCCGGCCCTTTGGGGGCCTGATCCGGGACGTGCGGCGCCGCTATCCCCACTACCTGAGTGACTTCCGAGATGCGCTTGACCCCCAGTGCCTGGCCGCCGTCATCTTCATCTACTTCGCGGCCCTGTCCCCTGCCATCACCTTCGGGGGGCTGCTGGGTAAGGAGAGGCTTCAGCTGGGGGCAGGGCACGCACAGGGCCCTGGTTGCCAGCTCCTGAGCTGCTCCCTGCCACCCCAGGAGAGAAAACTCAGGACCTGATTGGGGTGTCAGAGCTGATCATGTCCACGGCGCTCCAGGGTGTGATCTTCTGCCTGCTGGGGGCCCAGCCACTGCTGGTGATCGGCTTTTCCGGGCCCCTGCTGGTGTTTGAGGAGGCCTTCTTCTCGGTAAGGGCCCGCAGGCTACCTGGGGGCTGGCTCTTCCTGCCCCGCCGCAGCTGCCCCTCCTGTTCCCCGACACGCCCGCCTTGTTAGCCCCCCCGGGCTCTGGACCTGACCGGTCGCCCCCCCAGTTCTGCAGGAGCAACAACCTGGAGTACCTGGTGGGCCGCGTGTGGATCGGCTTCTGGCTGGTGCTCCTGGCCCTGCTCATGGTGGCCCTGGAGGGGAGCTTCCTGGTGCGCTTTGTCTCCCGGTTCACCCAGGAGATCTTTGCCTTCCTCATCTCCCTCATCTTCATCTACGAGACCTTCTACAAGCTGATTAAGGTGAACAGGCCCTGCTGAGAATAGGGCTGGGAGGGGTGAGGCCTCGGGACCAGAGGGAGCCAGGGCACATCCTGCCCGTCTCATTCTCGCTTCCGGGTGTGAGGTTCCAGGCTGTCCGAAGCTCCCCTGGGCTGCTGTCTGAGGAGCCCACAGAGCACGGGCTGGTTCTTCCTCCTGGCCCCTCGCCACCCTCCCTGTCACCACCAACACACATACTGGAGCTGCACGTCAATCTTAAAAACCCACGTGTTTTTGGTTTTTTTTAATTATCTTTTTATTTTTGAGAGAGAGAGTGTGAGCAAGGGAGGAGCTGAGGGGAGGGAGACACAGAATCTGAAGCAGGCTCCAGGCCCTGAGCTGTCAGCACAGAGCCCGCCGCAGGGCCCGAATTCACGGACCGTGAGATCATGACCTGAGCCGAAGTCGGACACTCAACCGACTGAGCCACCCAGGCGCCCCACTCACACGTGCTTTAATAACAAAAGTAATACGTCCTTTTGTTGAAGTGGCAAACAACCCAGAAGCATAGAAGAGAAACGCCCCCAAGGTGACAAAGAGTCCCGGCTTGGGCACCAGACCCTTGCCTGGGTCAGGCTTAGGAGACTGCCACTGCAGTCCTCTGCGCCCTGCACTCTGCCCCTCTGTAGTCCGCAGCTGCCCGAAGTAGACGAGCCCCTCTCTTCATGCCCGGTTTCCCTTGCTCACAGCTGGCGACCTCAGCCATTTTCTTGATCAGCAGGACAACCCCTGTGAGGCCAGGCCCACCATCCCCTATCCCGTCTGCCCCGCTCAGCATACATCCAGGCCCAGAAATCTTGCCAGTTTCACTGATGGAGTCCTTTGTCCTCTCCCCAGATCTTCCAGGAACACCCCCTCCACGGCTGCTCCGTCTCCAATAGCTCTGAGGCAGACAGCGGCGAGAACACCACGTGGCACAGGGCAGGAGCCACGCTGGGGCCGGGGAATGGGAGCTCATCTGTGCCAGCCGGGCAGGGGAGGCCCCGGGGCCAGCCCAACACGGCCCTGCTGTCGCTGGTGCTCATGGCCGGCACCTTCTTTATCGCTTTCTTCCTGCGCAAATTCAAGAACAGCCGGTTCTTCCCTGGCCGGGTGTGTGGGCTGAAATGCCGGAGGGAGGCGGAAGCGGGGGGCCAGGAAGGGTGACTGAGTCACGGCTGGAGGGAGGCGGGGGGCCTGAGCACGGTGCTTGCCCACAGGTGCGGCGGGTGATTGGCGACTTTGGGGTGCCCATCGCGATCCTCATCATGGTGCTTGTGGATTACAGTATTGAGGACACCTATACCCAGGTAAGGTGGAGCACACGCAGCAGGGAGGGGGTGCTGCCTGGCACCCGGCTCCAGCTGTTCTCCAGCCCAGCCCCTGCCTCTCAGCTGGGCACACACCAGGCCTCTGCCACAGCAGGCCCTCGGCATTCACCCTGCCTGTCGCAGTTCAGGGCTCTCCCTCCAAGGTTCACCGACCCCCAGGCCCACCTCTGTCCTGCAGAAGCTGAGCGTGCCCAGTGGATTCTCCGTGACAGCCCCAGAAAAGCGGGGCTGGGTCATCAACCCTCTGGGGGAGAACAGCTCCTTCCCCGTGTGGATGATGGTTGCCAGCCTGCTGCCCGCCATCTTGGTCTTCATCCTCATTTTCATGGAGACTCAGATCACCACGTGAGTGGTCCCAGCCAGGAGGGCGCCCTGTGGACAGGAACCACATCATTCACGGAAGGGAATCCCAGCCAGCCTGGGAGATAATGGGTGCACTGGGTGGGGGGAGCCCAGGATGCCTGGCTGGCCCCTAGAGCTTATTTTGTAGACAATAGAAAGTTCCACTGACGTTTGCTGGGATGGGCGCAGTACGGACCGGAAGCTGTCCTGAAGGGCAGGGAGGGTGGCCTGGGGAAGGCTCAGCCGTGACAGAGGTCTTATCCTGACGGGATGGGCAGGGACCACCAGCTTCCAAAAACAGACAGAGGCTACTGGCTGGATGCTCTGGAAAGACACGGCTCTGTGCCAAGCTGGTTCCAGGGCGTCAGTGAGTGCCTGTCCCCATTCAGGCTGATCATCTCCAAGAAGGAGCGGATGCTGCAGAAGGGCTCCGGCTTCCACCTGGACCTGCTGCTTATCGTGGCCATGGGAGGCATCTGTGCCCTCTTCGGCCTGCCCTGGCTGGCTGCCGCCACTGTCCGCTCCGTCACCCACGCCAACGCGCTCACCGTCATGAGCAAGGCCGTGGCGCCTGGGGACAAGCCCAAGATCCAGGAGGTCAAGGAGCAGCGGGTAACAGGGCTGCTGGTCGCCCTGCTTGTGGGTACGTCCACCTCTTGCCCCCGCCCTTCCCAGACGGGTCTCTGAGGATGGGGAGCCCTGGTGCCAGCCGTTCCTCCCTCTCCGCCCCCCCCGCCAGGCCTCTCCTTGGTTATTGGGGACCTGCTCCGGCAGATCCCCTTGGCTGTGCTCTTTGGAATTTTTCTGTACATGGGAGTTACCTCCCTTAACGGGATCCAGTTCTACGAGCGGCTGCACCTGCTGCTCATGCCCCCCAAACACCACCCAGATGTGACCTACGTCAAGAAGGTAAGAGCCCGCTTCAAAGAGCCCCGTGCCTCTGCCCCTCCGGGTCCGTTGCGGGGGGCGGGGGGTCATACTCTCCGGCACCCCACCTGCCCACTTGGGCCAGCCGCCATTGAGTCTGCATAGACGCAGCTCTGGTAAGCACCCAGGAAGGCACTTCCATCCCCACCCCTGTGCAGGGAAGAATGCGGCGGGCCTCCTGAATGTGGCGGGCCGGGTGGCCCTCCGAGGCCGGGGAGAAGCCTGGGCTCACGTGTCTCCTCCCGCCTCACCCCCAGGTTCGGACCCTCCGTATGCACCTGTTCACAGCCCTGCAGCTGCTCTGCTTGGCCTTGCTCTGGGCGGTCATGTCCACAGCCGCCTCCCTGGCCTTCCCCTTCATCCTCATCCTCACAGTGCCGCTCCGCATGGTGGTGCTCACCCGAATCTTCACCGAGCGAGAGATGAAATGTGTAAGGCCTCCTGCCCCTCCCCACCAGCCCCGCCGGTGCCCTCTGGGGTCCCCTTCCAGCTTGAGGTCAGGATCCACCTTCTTGATTCCCTCCACCCCCACAGCTGGATGCTAATGAGGCGGAGCCAGTGTTCGATGAGCGGGAGGGTGTGGACGAGTACAATGAGATGCCCATGCCTGTGTAGCCGCTGCCTGGACCGACAGCCGAGGGACAGACGGACAGAGGGAACAGGGGCTGGGGGGTGCTCTCCCCCTCCCGTCCCTCATTTTTATTTAAGTGAATAATTTAAAGTCCCCTTACCATCCTCACCCCCCCCCCCCACAGTAAAGTGCTTCGGCCCCCACCTATCCTTGGCCTTCTGTCTCTGTATGGGGAGGGGGCACGGATGGGAAAGAGGTGGGGGAACCCAGCCCGCTCCCTGTCCCAGAAACAAGATGCAAGATGAGGAAGGAAAGGGATTTTAATGAGAAACCGAAACAGAGAAAGCCAAAGTGCAAATCGTCCACCCCCCATCGGAGGGTCATCCTGAGCCCCGTGTGTGCCCCCTCACCCCCCTTCAGGCCCCCAGCGGAGGCCCAAGGCCTGGAGCTTCTGCCTCAGGTAGCTCTTGAGCTGGGGCAGGCCTCTCTGTGACTCCAGTTCCTCGAAGGGCAGCTGCGGGGGAGGGGAGGACAGCTCGTTACCCACAGGGCCCGTGGGCTGAGGGGAGAAAGGACGGTGTGGAGTCTCTCCCGGGGCGAGGCAGGGGCCGCTCACCGGCAGGAGCTGGTAGCCCATCAGGCCCAGGTGCCGCTCCCGTAGGGCCCGCGAGCCCAGCAGCACTCGTCCGTCGCGGCAGAAATGCCAGCGCTCCCGCAGCATCAGCACCACCCTGGAGGGGGCGGACCACAGCTCAGGGCGCTGTCCAGAGGCAGGGGAGGCTCCTCCGCCCTCTCCCCTTACCTTTGGGCCGGGTCATGGGTCGTGGGCTGAGAGGCAGCCTGGCCCTGGGGACAGGACCTGGGAGGGTATGGTAGGAAGGGGTCCTGGGTCCTCACGGGCAGCACGGCACCAGAGCTGCTGACACACAACAGGAAGTCTGGAGGGAGGAAGAGAAAGGGCCGCTGGCTTCCAGCCACGGCTCTGTATCCCTGCGGGCTGGGCCACCCCACCTGGGGCTCACCTGTGCAGTAGCCTGGAGGCACGGTCAGGTCCTGCCGGTACTTCTCTTCCCCCAGCAGCTGGCGCAGCCCCTCCGCCACTATATCCTTGTGACTGAGAGGGGAGGGGGAACACCGATATGGAAAGGCTTGAGAGTCTCCTCCTAAATCACTCCTGTACGCTTCTCCACCCTGGGCAAATGCCTTCCACGTCCCGAGGCCCATTTCTGTCCCCTCCCGTGACCACTTAGGGCGCACGAGCACGGACAGTTCAGGGTCCCCCTGGCTCCTCTACTCTGTGCTGCTTGCAGGCTGGTCCCCTCCCCTCCCCTCCCCCAGGCTGCCCCATCCACCTGTACTTGCAGCGGGCACGGTCAGTGATGAGTGGCTGGGGGAAGATGGGCACTTGCTGCCTTCGGGGAAGGCGGGGACCCCGGTATCCTGGAAGTTCCAGCTCCACGGCTGCGTCCAGCAGGGAGAGGTAGCGCCGCACAATCAGGGCGTGAGGGGTGCCTGTGGGAAAGCAGGCCGGAGGCTCGCTGGGCTGCGGGGCCCCACCCCCACTCGCCCCTGCCCGCTGGCCCTCGGGGACCCAGCCAGCCCTCCTGTCCGCGCACCACTGATGTGGTTGATGAATCCTGGGGAAAAGACAAAGTGCAGGGCCCTGAAGGGCAGGCACCGCAGCTGGCACAGTGACATCAAGATGTTGACAGTAGCAAGGGGAGCCACCCCTGCTTCCCGAGCCAGGATCCTCTCAAGGCAGGGCATAAACTGCTGTTCCAGGGGCAAGTAGTTCAGCCGCCCAAAGGGCAGGACCAACTTCTGTACCACCTGTGAAGGAAGAGCAGCCCTTCACCCCGCACGAAACAGTTCTCCGGTATCCGCCACAAGCTGAGCCTCGGGGAGGCTTGGCCTGCAAGCTGCTGTCTCTGTAAAGGCAGAACGATCCCTCTACCCCGGCGTACACACCAGAAGTTTGACAGCGTAACCAGTGTCTTGAGCCCCATGTGATTAATCAAACCAGTAGAGGAGACGTCGCTGTGGGGGCCGGCCCTGAAGACTTAGAGGGGTGGGCTCAACGAAGCTAAGACAGCGCCGAGTGCTTGGAGAACTGCAGAGAACCAGGCATACACGCTGGGTAGGTGGACAAGCCAAGAGGGTGTGAGCAAAGACGAACCCCCAGGGGCCAGAGCAGAGAGCCTAGCTGGTTGTCTGCGGCAGGAAGCAGCAGCCGGTCAAGCTGCATGGGGGGCTGGGCCTGACACGGTGCCTGAGGAGGGCTGGGAGAGGAGCATGGCAGGGCGGGAGGTAATCCCACCTTGCTGCTGAGCTGCATTTCCTGGACCACCAGGAAATGGGCAATGGCTTCCAGAAGCTGGGGCTCCCGCAACCGGTGCCGGGCCAGGTGCTGGGCCAGGAGCACCATCACGTGGGGTGTCAGTTCCTCCGGCCTGGCCTCTGTGAAAAACAGCCTATTATGCTGGACCCTCGGGCCAGATCTGGACGACGCCTTTTAGCCCAGACACCACCACCTGCCTCCTCTTCGGCCCCTCCCCGCCACCTGCCTTTAGTCCCCTCCAGCACCTGCCAGGCTGCGGATGAGATGCTGCCGCGGATGCCTCAGGAAACGAGGGCAGCTCAGAGCAGCTTCCAATCTTTGCCCACCGCGAAGGACAGGTTGCAGAGAGGGAGGTGGCTTCGGAGGGAGGCGGAACCTTCTCTCCTGCTCCAGGGCACACATCAAGGGCCCATCTGATGGGAAGCCTGAGAGGGAGAGGGTCAGAGGAGGCAGTCCTGGTAACGAAGAGCTGCTCTGTTCCAGTCCTGGGTTCAGTGGGTGAATTCCCAACCTCTCACGTCTCCACGTTCTGGACTGGAAGGGTTGCTACAGTGTAAGTGGAAACACTGGAGAAAGGTGAAACGCCATGTGAACGTATGGTATCAGGACAGTCTGTGGGGAAGGCCTTATACAAAGATGGCAAGTGACTTCTCATCTCATGCCAATGGTGACACGCTATAGTGGCTTTCTAGAGCACTGTATTGGAAGGAATCAGGGTTGGCACCCTAGCTAAGCTGGAACGAAGGCTGCTGGACTCCTGGTGTCTGCTGTGAAGACGGGAGGGGCAGCAAGCGTGCCAGGGTATGCGCCATTCCTGGCAGAGCCTGAGAGGTGAATTCTGTCAGTGATCTCGGGTCTTCTATGCTCTTTCTCTACTCTTCCGTTAACACCCACCCACCCCCAGACACCCTCCTCACCAAGTAAGACTGCAAGGTGCAGACACACGTGGATGGTGTGAATATCAAAGGAGGGGCAGTTTCGGATGATGAGCTGACTCAAGTCCTGTAGTGTGGCCTGCTCCACAGGAGGGGGCCGTGGCTGAGACCCCAAGAGTTGGCCCAGACGACGAAGTGCCACGGGGTAGTGATGGGCGCGCACCTTGGTGGGGTTCTGGCCCAGCCAGCGCAGCAGCTCCCCGGGGCTCCTCGCCTGTTCCAGAAGCCGCTGTAGCCCCTGCACGGGGCCTGCATGGAGGCCTCCTCCAGGAGGCCAGTCCCCCCACTTGCCGGGCCCCAGACAACAGGGCTGTACTGGCGGGAGCAGCAGCAGGCCAGAGAGCCGAGCAGCAGAGGCCTGGGCAGAGAGCAGGACTCGAAGCATGGAGTTTGGTGTTGGAGACCCTGAGGGGCAGCCCAGAAAAGGGGGTGAGGTTTTCTCCAAAGGGGAGGAAAACCCGCTATCTTACTCCTTACCTCGCTCCCCAATTCAGAGGGCCCTGGGGTCGGAGCAACCCAGACTCATGTTCACTCTTCCTGGAGACTGCTCTAGTCTTCCCCACCCTGCCCCTCTCTGCCTCCTTCCATCCTCTGAAACGGCACCTTCGGTGTACGCGGCACAGTGATATTTACAAAGCAATTCCACATGCATTGCGTATCTCCTCTGGTCCTCTACACACGCCTATGAGGTGGTAGGCAGGGCTGGCACCACATCGATTTCACAGGTGGAGAAACCAAGGCCCAGAGAAGAAAGGCAGTGAAGCCTGAGGTCACGAATCGGGTTAGTGGTCGTGCCCAGCCTGGAGCCCAGCTGGCCCCGTCGATACGCCCTCCCGACCACCTCCCCCTCTCGCAGGAGGCGGCAGCGGCGAGGAGGGTGGAACGCGGGCTCCGCAGCCGGCGGTCCTGGGTTCCATGCTGGGCGCTCCCGCTTACCACCGGCATGACCTTGGACAAGTGGCTTCGTCTCTCAGCCCAAGCCTCCTCACCCGTGAAACGAGAACGCAGCGCCCACCTCGCGGGGCGCCCGTGGAGCCCGAGCGCCCAGCTTTGCAAAGGTGCGGAGTCGGCCGTGTCAGGGACCCCCACACCCACCCGAGCCCGGGGACGCCAGCAGACCGTGGTCATGGTCGCCAACGCCAACTCCCGCCGCCCGCCCGCAGCCCGCCCCGCAGATGCCACCCCTACATGACTCCCCAGGCCCCGCGCAGGTCGCTCCCTCAGTCGGTCTCGGGGCCCGGGAGCCGGGCTCCCTCCGCGGCTTCCTCATCGGCGGGCCACCGAGTCCGCCATCTTCCCAGCAGCCCCCGGATCGCGGCCCGGACGCCAATAGCGGCTCAGTCCCCGACCGGGACAGACGTGGCTCCCGTCAGGCCCTGCGCGCGCCGCCGCCGCCGCCGCCGCCGCCGCGGCCGCCGCGGCCGCCGAGCGCCCCGCCCCCCGCTTCCGGGAAGCTGCGCGCGCCGAGCCTGGGCGGTGCCGGGGGCGGAGCCAGAAGGCTCGGCTCTGAGGCTCCGGCGAACAGAAAGCGGAAGTCGGCGGCGGGTCGTGTAAGGTTGGTTGGACACCAGGAGAGCTCAGTCCGCTCCCTTCGCTCCTTTTCTCCCAGTGGGCAAGGGCTCCCCGCCCAACACCCCCGCGGGCCCGCACACTCAGAGACACACACGGAGAGTGAAAACTTCACAGTTATTTAATCTGCACATGTTCCAGAGAAGCCCTCTGCCCCTCCCAGCTCCCCTTCACCAGCGTCCCGCAGTCCTTGGGTCCCCAAATCAGCCCAAGGAGCTCTTAGGGACTAGAAGTGGCTGGGTCCTCAGACAGAATACTAAGATGGGCCCAGGGGTGTAGCCTGGCTCTGCCCAGGGCCAAGGCAGTGACAGCAGCTGCCTGACCCCGAAGAGCTGACTGTCAATGGGGGCTGAGAGCCAGCAGCCCCAGGAGGTGGCCCAGAGCCATGGAGGTCACAGGGAGGGGCCTCGGCCGACTCCCGGAGCGCCCTGCTGCGCAGCGCTGGGCTCCAAGGTAGTGGGAAGAGGCAGGCGGGAGTGGTGGGCCTGGGCAGACAACAACTCCCACTGTGTCGTGGGGAGCAAGGTCCGGAGGGGCCGGCGACACTGCCGAGAGCCCGTGGAGGCACTACGGGCGGTACATGGCAAAGGCCAGGAGGCTGAGGAGCAGGGTGAAGCCGGCCAGACCCAGAGTGGCGGTCAGGGGAAAGAAGGGCCGGTACTGGATCTGGCAATACCAGAGCAGCAGCAGCAGCAGAAGCAGGAGAGGCAGCAGCAGGCTGCCTATTTCCAGCCCGGAGGGGCCTGGCTCTGACCCCGGTGGGCAAGGGGGATGTGGGGGACCCACGCGTGTGGACACGTGGCAGTGGAGAACGCAGTTGGGTGGGAGGTGAAGGCTGCCCAGAGTCTGGGTGTCGTCTCCTAGCAGTTGCCCTTGGTAAATGAGTCGCACCTGCTGTTCCCGGCCGGGAAACTGGGTCCTGAGGAGAGAGGGACCTGGGTAAGAGAGCAGGCCTCAGGCAATCCTGGTCCCTTGCCCAGAACAACACTCACCTTTGCCTCCACCCATCACCCAGTTGGTGGCCTCTAAGGGGGTCCCTTCCTGCTATGGGGGGACAATACAATGTGCCATGTGGGGACCTCAGTTCCCTCCTCTATAGAATGAGGGGGAGGTCTCCGATCTCTCTCGTGGCCTCTCTGGGTCTGTGATCATTGCCACCCCACTCTTTAGAATTTTCTTTCCTGTCCTCATCCCAGCTTACCTTTTCAGGGAGCCAATGGTATCGTGGGGCCAGGCCCTGGCCACCTGCTCTGAATCGTTGAGGAATTTCAGCCGGAGCACTAGGGGCTCCTGGGGGGAGTCCGGGGTTGGTGACGTTGCTGAGAGCCCCATGCCAGGCTCTGGCTGTGCAGCCTGACCTCTGTGTCTCAAGCTGGGAGTTTCGGCTCCTGGGGCCTCCCCTCTGATGCTGCCGGTGACCGCCATGGCTTCACTGGGCTGTGCTGGTGTTGGAGTCCCTGATGGCTGGGGCAGTGGGTCGGCGCCCTCCGCGGTGTGTGTTGAGACCCAGGCGAGAGCCAGCACCAGAAGGCAGGCAAGCACCGCGAAAAGGATGGTCACCTCATCACCCACCCCTTCAATCAAGGCCATGGCACCTGCCTTGCCTGCCACGCTACTGAGCTGGAGAGGCACAAAGAACCCATGAGGGGCTGGATCGCTGGCCAACAGCCCTCTGAACTTCCACAGGCTCCTGAAGCCACCCCACCAAACTCTCCCACAGTCTTTATCCCAATCCCGCTTGCGCAAGCTCCACCCTAGGGCACATTACTGCTCTGAAACCTGATGTCCCAACCTTGCTTCAAGGGCCCCTTCGCATCACCAAATCCCGAGTCCTAACTTGCTCTAAACTGAGTTCTAGGTCTTCAGCCCGCTCCTCCATTCATCCAAACACTCTCCCGACTTAAGGGCCTTGACATTCTAAGCAACCTCTTCCCTAAATTCAACCCACACCGAACTTCACCCCAAAGCTGACCTAGTCTCCCATCACTGCCCCAGAGTTTATCTACTCCTTCGTCTATTTCATCCCAACGCTCATCTACTCCTCCATCATTAAAGGTGCTCCAAGGGGATAGAAAATGGGTTTCTTTCCCCCGCCCCCGCCCCGTTATCATTTAACCAAAAGCCACCCGCGGATGGGGACTGCTTCCCAAGGCTTCCCCACACCACACGTCAATCTCCGCCCTTTGGCAATTCGGAGCTTCCAATGGTTGCCATCCCCCGACCCAAATTGGCCCCTCCAGTCTACTGAGGGCCCACCCCGTGGCGGCCCGATTCCGCGCCTCTTCTGGAAGCCTCTCCAAACCCATTCCGCAGGCGGACCCCAGATCCCGCCCAGGAATCCGGACTTCGCCCTCCCTACCCCCAGCTCTTCCATCACCCCTCCCATCTTCCCGCCCCCCCGGAGCCGCGTTAGGGCAACCGGAGAACCGGGGGCGGGACGAGAGGGGGCCAGCTGGGGCCCGGGGCGGTGGGGTGGGCGCGGTCAACGCGCAGGGACTCACCGCCCGGCTCCGCCAGCTCCATAGCGGACCCTCGGGCACTTCCGGGCGGGAGGCGCCGAGGTCGCGGACACCTGAAGGCACCCCCTCCTTCCCTGCCGCCGCCGCCCGAAGCATTGTGGGACTTGTAGTCCTGCGTGGTGCGCATTTCCCGCCCTCCACCCTGCGGACCCACGTGCGGGGATCTGCAGGATAGTCCTGGTGCCCGCAAGACGCTGAGGGGCCCGCGGGGGCGGGCTTGCTAGTCCCCTGAGGTTTGGGCGACAGTAGGATCCGCCCCCTCCCCTGCTGGCATCCAGGGCATCTGTCACTCCAAAAACCAACGTCAGCTAGAGCACGTCAGAGTCCCCGTGTTAACAGATGCAGTGACTGGAGAGCTCAGGTGGCCCCTATCCCGGTCTGCTCTTATGTCAGAGTGAACGCCAAAAGGCACTGTGGGCCCCCTAAATTGACTCTTTGGCTCAGAGCCCAGTACCCATGGGCTGTCTCATCAGGTTGGTTACGCACCCCTCCCCAAGGCTGGCCACGGTGGCTTGTGCTGTCTTGTTTCCCTCGTCCTTTCCCCTTGCCCCTGTAACACTATGCAAGAAGCATGGACCTTGGAGCCTGGCACAGATGCCGATCGATCTCTTATCCTGTGTTTATCACCTGTATAACCTTGGGTGCGCTACTGAATCTCTTTGAATCTTAATTTCTTTGTTCCTAAAGCATAATTTCATAATGAAATTCTAAGGAAGAAATTAGGTTTTATTAAATAAGCATGAAAACGATGTAAGGGATCTGTTACACAGTAGGTATTTGTTCACCTAATACTAGTACACCCTCTCCACCCAGATCTGGGCTTGGAAACTGGGTCCTCAGAGTGTCACTGTGTAGAGGACATTGAGCCCCAGCCTGGCTTGGGTCAGCTAATTATGGCTTTCCCCTCCTTCCTCTGGGCCACAGAGATCTCATGTCTGGGTTTTATAGGCCAGTCTTGATGAAAAGCAATGTACCCTACAGTTTCCATTCATGCTTACCTGTGGGAGCAAGTACCCCAAGTGTTGCCTTGGGAAAGCCAGTTTAGATGTATGACAGACAGACCTGACTTCTCTCTAGTTCTTTCCCTCTCATTCATTCATTTATTCTAGAAACATTTTTAAGTGTATTTATTTTGAGAGGGGGGAGGGGAAGAGAGAGACTCCTAAGGAGGCTCTGCACCGTCAGCACAGCCCCGACTCGACTTGGGGCTCTATCTCACGACCCTTGAGATCATGACCTGAGCCGTAACCAAGAGTCAGATGCTTAACCGACTGAGCCACCCAGGCACGCGGAACATTAATTAAAGGTATACCAAATGCCACACACACTGCATGATGCTGGGAATACAATGGTGAATCACACAGGTAAACTTGTCCCCGCTCTCATGCGGCTCATATAATAATAGGAGACAGACATGTAGACAAGCCCACGAGTCCTAACGAAGATCTGTTAGGCTGCTGGGGCAACCCATTTGAGATACTCTTTACTCTCAGCATCTCTCCTGGGAGGTACCTGGTGCAGATTCTTACCATCCTTTCTAGTTAAGCATCTAAAAGACGTCTTTGCTATTGCTTTTAGAATTACACAGTACGAGAGCTAGGTGTTTTGCTCAATTACTATATTTTGCCGATGAAGCATGGAGAGGGTACAAGACATCAGTAAGGTCAAACATGTAGACAGAACCTGAATCTTTCAGGAGCTAGGGAGGCCCCGGGTATTGAGTAGCTTGTGCCTGGTTCTCTGGAAGGTACAGGACACTTAGGTGACTGCATTGGTGACTGGGGCAGAGTTATGTGAATGGCCAAATGGGGTCAACTGTTTGCTGGGAAAAGACCTAGCTTGGCCTGGGAGGTGGAAGTGTGTGTATCGAGATTGACATATGTCAACTGTCCCAGAGGACATCGGGGCATGGCCCTGGATTGGCTGGGGCCAGTGCCCTGCACATGCCCTCTCTTACACGTTTTAAGAAAGATGGGGGATGGAGGTGGATTAGCAGGACTGCTGACGGCTTTGGCAATGGGGATGCAGAGGAACTGAGACATTGAAGGGAGCTCCCTGTCCCTGGAAGGAGCGGACAGGAACACAGGGTGGGCGAGGGGGTGACAATTAAGAGAGCCTTGTGGGCTCTGGTGAGTCTCTTGAATGGGATGAGAGGGGAGAAGAAAGCATAATATTGGATTCATCTCCCTTCTTTGCCTGTGTACCAGCCGGGACCAGGGTGGTGGCAGTCAGTGAACCCTCCCGGTCCCAAAGGAAA